ATGTTCACTGGGACGTGCTACTCATCCAGGAGGGTTTGCTGGGAGGGGCGGCTGGCGACTGCAGCGTTGGTTGTCCGAGTTTCCAGTGTCAACAACATTCTGTGCTGTTTGCCCCCGGGAAGGACGGCGTGCACGGCGCATGCATTGTGGTACATTCCAGACATGATGGTCATATGGTTTCTTGATTACCACGTATCTACACTGACAGCGGAAGAGGCTTTTTATTGGCATCAGCTTATTTTCGGCAGCGTGCGCACGGGATGGAAGTGTTCCAGGACCAGCTGGATGACGTGCAGAAGGCGCTCCGGAACCATCTTTTCCCCGGCGACGTCCTTTTTTTAGTACCGATGCGAACGCCAGTGCGGGAGCGACGACGTGCAGCGAAGAATCTGATACAGTGGGCCCGTATGGGGGCCCCACGAGGGACGCCCGAGGCGAGTTACTTCTATTCTTGTGTATGCGGTGGGGCCTCAACATTTGCAACACTTTCATTTTCTTGCCAGGGGAGGATCGTTACATTTGTATGTCTGGGGCCGGCCTTTCTTACATCGACTACGTCACCACAAACAAGCCTTCGTTTGTAAGCTCTTGCGTTCCAGTTCACCTACCAGTCGAATCTACGAACCATTACGCTTTGGCCACGGAGGTCGTCGTGAGAGGAAACACGATCGATCGAGCTCACGAACCCGTCTAAGAACGCTGCTCTGAGGAAGAGCCGGGCGATCCTGAACAATCCTGGCAAGGGGGCCTGGGGCAAGAAGTCCACGGCACGACGTGGGCAGGTATTCATGAAAGATCTGGATGGCAATCCGTGTCTGAGCCAGGAGGCCATCAGCGAACGTATGCACAACCATTTCGCGATTCAGTTCAAGAGCCCTGACAATTGGGAGCCTCCGCGTTGGGTTTACGGCGAGTTCCCAAACAACCACTTGCGCCACATCGACGCCCTAGGCCTCAAACCCGCCATCTCCAACATGAAGTCGGGCAAAAGTTGTTCTCGTTTTGATCTGGTCGTTGCAGAGATGGTGAAGCCGTTGCTGGAGGTTTCAGAGCAGGACAACAGCTCCAAGATCGAGCCGGTGCGGGAGGTACTGCGCGAGGCGTTGCTCAACGATTTGCTCGGCCGGAAAACCGGGCAGGCCCAGGCGAGGCATCGCTTGAAAGAGTCCGACGCGCCATTGTGCTTGCTCCCGCCAGCAGAGCGGCAGCGCACCAGGCAGGACTGGCGACGTTCTGGCACGAACAGCGGAACCTTCAAGATTGATGTTGAAGTGTGTTTACTTCCAAAGGGCACGGTTGTCTCATGCCCGAAAGAATTGCGGCCGATCTCATTGGCCCCGGTGCTCCGGAAACTTCTCGGAGACCTGGCTCTGGCGAAGACGCAGGGGCTCTTGAAGGAGACAGGCGCGCGGCAATTTGCATGCAAATCTGGGTGCCAAAACGATGACCTTACACTGTTGATCAGAATGCTGGGCCAGAGAAGTATGGAATGGCGTGTGCCTTTCCTGTTGGGGGTCACTGACATGCCCAAGTGTTTCGACGAAGTCGGCCATTCGTTTCTGCTCGAGGCGATTCTGCACATGGGCGTTGATCGCGCCATCGCGGCGTGGTTTGTCCGCGAGGCGAGGAGCTCAGTGCTGCATCTTCGGCTTGGCGGAGTCGACGTGCCACTCGTCTGTGTGGCCAGGGGAATCCCGCAAGGATCTAGGTACGGTCCGTCGTTATGTGCCGCGGTGCTTCATTGCTGTATTGAACCAGCGTGGAAATCTTGCCGTCGTGATCGACTGGGTTATCGACAAGGCGATCAATATATACCCTTCGTGCTGTTTTGTGACAATATCTTCATTCTCGCTCACGATGCCAACGATGTCTTGGAGATCCTCTCTAGATTGCAGTTCGCGCTCGTCATGGGTGGATGGAGGTTGCCAGACGACCGCATTGCCTACCAGATCAACAAGTACGTCGGGGACGTGCGTGGGACGCAACTCAAAGAATACAAGGAGGAGCCCCGGGGTACTTCCTTCAAGGCACTCGGCTCCATGATCAATGCAGCAGGTACTTGCCATGCCGACATCGCCGTCAAGAGGCGCGGTTGCAGTTCGGCCATCGAGAAGCAGCGCTCGCTGTGGCAGTGCCCGAGAGTATCTCGGCAGAAGAAACTGAGCCTGATGCACGAAGTAGCAACATCGAATTATTCTTGTTGCGTGGGCGCATGGATTGTCAATCAGCGCGAGTTGTCTTCCCTGAAAGCAGCTTTTACGAAGGCGGCGAAATCCGTTTTGCGGGTCCCTCGGAAGCAGGGTGACACCGACGAGGCGTACCACCGCACCTGCAACCGCATTCTCCGGGATACGATTATAGAAGGCTGGGCTGCCGTCGTCGACGTCTACGCGCTGCGCAGGATGCACGACTACACGGGCCACCTCGTCCGGGCCATTCGCTGGGATCCAGAGCATCTGGTCGGCGCTGTTATCCTGCGCGGGGATTCCGAGTGGAAGTGCAACATGACGGACACCATCGGTCTTCAGGGCCACCCAGGCTGGTTTGCCCCACGGCGTTGGGAAAGACAATATGATTCTTATTTTGCCGCGCAAGACTTGTCTTGGATGGATGCCGCTATCGACCGAAAAGCTTGGCAAGCCCATCGTTCCTCCTAGGTCGCGCACGTGATGGGGCACAAGCTGCTGAACGCCGTTATTGGGAATCTCTGAATCTACATAATTTACAGGTGGTTTGAATAGTCATCGTTGTCGAGAGGTGTATATTCGTTCTCCTGAGCCGAGCCGTTTAGTGAAGCAGCGGTAAGAGCTTATGCTCACACAGGCCGCAGTAATAGTTGTAGTAGTAGTAGTAGTAGTAGTAGTAGTAGTAGTAGTAGTCGTAGTCGTAGTCGTAGAAGAAGAAGTAGAAGTAGAAGTAGAAGTAGTAGTAGGTAGTAGTAGTCATTCCTTCTGCTCTTCCAGCTTCTCACGATGCATCTTCGGGGGACCGCCTCTGTCCTGTCCATTGCTGTCTTGTTTCTTGTACCTGGCTCAGACTCGGCGCGGATTTGACATGGATTCGGTATGGATTCGACGCAGATTTGACCTTTGACGCGAATTCGACACGGATTCGAAGCGGAGAGTGGCGCGATGGGACGGACAAGGTCCCCCGAATATACAATGGAATGGCCCTTTTATTTTCCACTCCATCGTTTTGGTCAATGTCGCCCCATCGCCTGGGTTATTCGTTTCTCCCATCACCGTTTTCTCCGTGTCGTTTGGGGCAGTTCGGCTTCTTTGGGCGAGCAAAAGGTTTTGAGAATATCCCCCCGCCTCCAGGTTCTACTCTCCCTCTTCGGCTTATGATGTTCCAACTTATTTCAGCCTTGACCACCAGAAACGAATCGAGCACCAAAAAAGTACCGAAACTAGAGGGGTTTCATGTGTCGGGCCCTGGGAGGCGATACTCGTTCGACACTGCTTCGACATTTTTCTGGGTGTTCGAAATTATTTCCGGGATGTGGTCCTTCACTACGATGAAAACAACATAATGGCCGGCTTCCCCTTTACATTATCCACCAGGTTGCGGTCGAGTCGTAGCCGTAATCGTAGCCGTAATCGCACCGTGCGCAGCGGCATGGTTTTGTTCGTCTCTCGCCTAGGTGCCGCGCACACACTCGTCTTTTTGGATCCGTTCTCAGCCGTTGCACTCACGGGGCCGAGGAAGCCGAAAAGAAGTTTGATCTCTTTCCTGCTCTCTTTTTCACCTCCTGTCTCCGTTCTGCCTCCGCAGACCCATTTTCGGCAATCGGGGGCCCTCGCTGGGCGTCGGGGCCGTCAAACAAACGATTCAGGATGAGAAACCGGTCCCTGGGAATGGGTCGAGACCTCTCGTGGTCCTGGGGTCTGGGTCCTTCAGTCCTTCGGTCCTTCAGTGCTCTCTCTTTCTTCTCCCCGCCCGCTTCCCCCTTCTCTCCCGACCCCCCGCATTGTGTTCCCCGGGGTGCCATCACCCCCGCACCGTACCCACCATGAGTATTCCATTCGCGGGTCTTCCATTCAAAATTCGGTAGGTCTGAAGCTTCTGTTTCGGGAGTCCTCCCTCCTCCCTCCTCCCCCTGCTCTTCCTCCTCTGTCTTACCTCCCTCCCCTCCCGCCAGAGGAAGCAACATGATATCGTTAGACCCTGCTATTTCACAGGATGAGTGCTCCTCCCACACCTCTGAGGCAGCCCCGCCGGGGCGTCAGGGAGGCTCCGCCAGAACAAGCCTTACAACCAGACTTCAGCGTTGCCCCGGAACATGTTTATTATCACGAGATAAAACGCACTGACAAAAATCAAGGCGCATGGCGTATGTTGTTCGTTCTATTTTCGGCCTCCAAGGGCCCTCGCCAGGCCCCAGGACCGACAAAAAACAACTCAGGATGAAAAGTGGCCCTGGGGAATGGGGAATGGGTCGAGACTTCGGGGGACCGCGTATTGAAAGATCACGACGTCGGATCTTTGGGCCCTTCTTTGGGACCCACGTCATTGTTATCCCCAGGATGTGATACTACCAGGGGCGCTGGGTTATTCGCGCCCTATGGAGAGTACTAGCCACGGTTTCCGAGCGAACACGCCCGCATGGCGCCGGCGCGCCCGTTTCGGCACGCAGTTTGCACACTTCATTTTCAAGAGGTGTCTCCGTCCACAGTTCTCCGCTCGTGGGTGCACCGGGGTGCTGCGGGGGGCCCCGTCCGGGGCCCAAGCCCTGCGGGAACTCGGGGGGCCTCCTGGAACCATCACAGTTTACCCGGGCCAGGTCTGGCCCGCAGTGTGGCAGCTGAGCCAGACCTTAGTGGGCTCTGGAAACGACAGGGCCGTTTTTGTTACAGGTTCCGTTCTGCCGTTTTTTGTCACCGGTTCTGACGCCGTTTTTTTGCTGGTTCCTTCGCCGTGTTATCGGCAGTTTCGGCTCCGGTTCCAATCCTGGAGCCGTTTTTGTTGTCGTGTCTGGTCGCCGTTTTTGTTGCCGCTTCCATTTCCAAGAGACATTTGTTTGGAAACGGTGAAGAAACGGCCCTGCCGTTTCCGGGCCCCCCGAAGCGCCAGATTGCTGAGGAACCGCTGGCCGTGCGCGCGTGCACCTCCTGACATCGGTACACCACGTCCCTTCGTCGCCAACGAGCCAGGGTTTGCAGCTAAGGAGTTCCGTGTATTCGGGTGTTGCTAGAAGTACCCCCGGCCAAAGGTGCCCCCAGAATTTCCAAGGAGGCTCCGAATGCCTCCAGAGCACCCCTCACGAGGCCCACAGGGCCCCAGGGGGCTCCAAACTGGAGCGAAGAGCTGGGGCCACCTTTGGCTAGTGGCACTTCTAGCAGCACCAGATGTATAGACGTTTCAGGTATCCGAGTGGTTGGGAATGTGGGGCGTGCATGCACCGAGCTTCGAGCCTCTCCCAGGGGGGGGGTGCAGGGCTGCATCCCTCCCCCCTCCCCGCGCAGGCACGTCGAAGCACGTGGTCCTCATGGGCGGCTGCGTGAGGCAGTTCGACTCGAACCTGCTGGGTGGTCGGATGCCAGGGGGGCAGACGGATTACGGCTGGCGCTGCAAAAAGACAGCGTGCGATGCGGCGCCACAGGCCCGCTTATTACACGCTGTCCCCCACCTTAGGGATACAGTGGAGGCCCATGCCAAGAAACACCTTGCTTGCCTCCAGGGTGCCCTGGGTTTCTTGGGTTTCGAGGGTTTTGCTACGGAAAGCGTGACGCTCCCACACCAAAAATCAATGGACGTTCTGGGGTCTCAGGCTTGGGTTTCTTGTGGAAGGTTTCTTGTGGTCGGGCCCCTGCTGTACTACACGCTATCCGCCACCTTAGGGATACCGTTCACCGCAGGAGCCTTCTGCCAGGGGATTGCGTGCACAGGGGGGGCCATCGTGAGGCGATCGCCCCACTTGGGGCAGCGTGCACACAGCAGAAGCGCTTCGTTTGGGGGACAGCATGCTCTTGGGATGTTGGTGTTGCACGCTATCTTTGCGACGTTGAGCGTACTCTGGCTGGGGTATGTGCCAAGGGGGGGGGGCTTGTCGGCGCACCCCCACGCACCGATGGGGATGGAGAGGAACAAACAATGACATAAACATGATTTTCGGAGGTCCGCGCGGACTCCTTGGGTCATCACCACCCACCAAACCACCCCAATCCAACGCGAAGGCCTCAATTTGCCTTCCATTTCCGGTGGGGGGGGTCGGGGAACCTTGAAAACACACATGTGGAACCCTTCCCCCGAACCCGAAATTCGGGACTTCTGGTTAGGATGGGGTGGTCTGGTAGGTCAGAGTGAGGGGGCCGAACGAACGCTCATTCTTTGTTCCCTGGTGCGTGGCTGAAGTGGGGATCCGCGGGGAGGATTATGCTTGTTGTTGTTGTCGTCGTCCCCCCCTCCGACCCGCCCGCGTCCCACCCGCGACCCACCCCGGGACCCACCCCACGACCCACCCCACGACCCGCCCCGCGACCCGCCCCGTGACCCACCCCGCGACCCACCCGCGACCCACCCCGCGACCCACCCCGTGACCTGCTCGCGACCTGCTCGCGACCCACCCCGCGACCCACCCGCGACCCACCCGCGACCCATACGCGACCCACCCGCGACCCATCCGCGACCCGGCCCGCGCCCACCCCGACCCACCCCGCGACCCACCCCGCGACCCAACCCGCGATTCACCCACATTGCTTTACCGAAGAAATCGGCGCCTGCGGCGGGCTCACTGCATAATTTGTAAAAGTTGGGCGCCTGCGGCGGGCTTCTTCAGAGCCTCGCAAACTGAAGACGTCCTCGCCGCCCCCTCACTCTCATCCGCAACTGCGGGGTGCTACGTATATATGCATCCTCGTCCTTAGTGGGCCCCGGAAACGGCAGGGCCGTTTCGTCATCGTTTCCGAAAAAGTGTCTGTTGGACAATGGAAGCGGCCAAAAACGGAGACCAGAAACGGCAACAAAATCGGCTCCAGGATTGGAACCGGAGCCAGAACCGGCAAAACGGCGACGGATCTGGTAACAGAAACGGCCAAAGGGAACCGGTCAAAGTCGGCCCTGTCGGTTCCAGGGCCTTTCGAGTCCTCGCCCGGGTCGATCCTCGTCCCGGCTTCGTCTCCGTGGAGGCGAGCGCGGCAGCTTTCCGAAGGCCCCTGCCCGCGAAGGCGCCCCCATCCTGCCTGCCCAGCAGGCGCCGCAGCCCTCGCGCGGCACCGCCCTCGTACAATGGAGGCCCATACCAAGAAACACCCTCCTGGCCTCCAGGGTGGCTTGGTTTTCTTGCGTTTCGATGGTTTTGCGACGGAGAGAGTGACGCTCCAACACCAAAAATCGATGGGCGTCCTGGGGTCTCAGGCGTGGGTTCCTTGTGGAAGGTTCTTGTGGTCGAACTCCTACTTTAGGTGCCGTCAGTTTCCAAGGTGTTGGCATCTCTCGGCCGCGTGCATTTTGTCCTCGGCGAGGACTGTCGGCGAGCGTCCTTGGTCCACGACGCCGAAGCGCGCCACGGGAAGTGGGCGTCCTTGGTCCACGACACCAGGCCCGGACGGTCGCGGCTGGACCGCCTGGACCTCACGCGCCCGAGCTGCTACTTTCGGGAGGGGGACCTTCTGGGGAACAGCACAGGATCCAAGATTTTGGGACGGCTCGGGCGCTTCCCGGCCCCCGTCGTGGTCGTGAAGAAATCAGGGTTGGAGGAGGTCGGAAGAGCTTGGAAAGAGAGAGAGAGAGAGAGAAATAGAAATACAGAAAAAGCAAGCCGTGCACATCACAGGTGCGTTGGCATCGAATTCGATGAAACGTGTCGTGCCGTCAAGCCAGAAAACTGCGGCACCGACCTCTGCAACGGCGAGAAAAGACTAAAGCCGCCTCGCTGGAAGGAAGAGATGGGGGAGGAGGAGGAGGAGGAGGAGGAGGAGGAGGAGGCGGAGGAGGAGGAGGAGGAGGAGGACGACGGAAGGGCCTGGAATCGAGATACAAATCCGGCCCAGAGAGTGTCGGAACGCTTTCAGAGCGTTCCGGGCCGCTCTGCCACAGCCGTAGCGCCCAAAAGATCCTCCAAACCCACCGAGGCTCGGGGATGTCCGATTCCCAACCACATGCCCCATATACAAAAGTATGCACCGTTTACCCACCAGAATATTTACTTCCCCGTGCCAGTATGATTTAGTTATGGATAGGGGCGGCGAGGCCGAAGTTGATAATCCCCGGGGGAACTTGCGAATCGAAGTTGCTAGTATCTTATGTTGACTAGCGCCAGCATCGAGAACGCTGAACATGGCAATGGTGGTCTCACTATTTCAGTTTTCGCAATTACGAGCGTGAGGCAGGGCTATGGGGTTCTCACCGCTTCAGTTTTCTCAGGTCACGAACGTGCGGCAAGGCCATGGGATTCTCACTTTCTCAGCCGTTCCCGAGTCAGGAACGTGTGGCAGGGCCACGGGGGCCGATTTTATTTTGAAGTCACTTGCGTTTTTCGAGCAGGCAAAACATTATAGATACGTTTTTAGCCCATTTTCACATGGTTCGTGGCCCCTTCCTCCTCCTCCTCCTCCTCCTCTTCTTCCTTCTCTTGTTCCGCCCCCCTCCCCCGCAACTGCCCGGGCTCGAGTTTCCCCGAGCCTTCGAGATTCCAAGCTTTCGCGCCTCTTCGTAGCATCGGGCCTCTTCGCCCCAGGGGCAGCGATAGGGGGAGATAGGCATAAGGGGATGCATCGATTCCGAATCGCCTTTGATCGCAGAGAGTGAGTGATTCGATGTCCTGAATTTGCCCAGGAACGCGCGCATTCACGATCGGGCGCCCATCGCCGATGCATCGGCGATGTATCACCAATTTCAGGTCGATGTTTCCCCCCCAGTGCCTATCCCCCCCGCATCGTTGCCCCTGTGTGCGTCGCGAGCTTCGCAGATGGCCCACCCCGCCGAAGAGCGCGCCCAGTTTCTGACCCAGCAGGTCGAGGCCCTGGGGAACGTCGTGGCCCGGAGCACGCGCCCGAGCTCGAACGAGATCCTCGAGCGCATGGCCAAGCATAACGAGAAGATCCTCGACGAGCTGGTTTTCATCGCTGACAAGATCGCTATTGCCGGGATGCGCCAGTGCCAATCGAGCGCGCATGGTATTGACGCAGCAAGAATGACTGCCTGCTTTTTTCAAGGCGGACCGCGCCTCGTGGTCGGTGGGCGCCCAGCAAGCCGTCTTCGAACTGGTGTGCGGCTGCGGTTTTCTCGAAGGCATCGAGTGCGGGTGCACCCCCGACGAGAAGGACTAGCGGCGCGTCGGGCTGGCGGTAGCGTTGTTCTACAAAACATCCTGCGAGAAAGACAACTTCCTCGACGACATATTCGAGAATCGCGAGAACAGCCGCCCGATAACCTCTTCTGGCTCATGCCGAGCTTCAAGTCGAAGATGCTCGAGCTCGCCAAGAAGAAGGGCATCGAGCTCTGCCCTGAGAGCATCCAGCGCCTCAGCTCCGGCTCTTACGCCGAGCGCGCCGGCGAGGCCCGCCCCCAGATCCCCATCCGAGGCCCTCAACCTCCGCGACCTCGCGCTGCCGATCAACGAGAGCCTATAGCCCGTCGAGAAGATGTCCGAGAAGTTCTCATCCGGCGTGCCGAGCGATGAGTTCCTCGAGCTGACCCCCAAGGCGGCCAAGTCCTTCGTCATTTGGCGCCGCGAGAACGGCGCGGTGGAGAGCAAGGGCCACGCGCGAGCCACCGCGGCAGCGGTCGTCAAGGGGTGCCGGTGCTGGAGCTTCGAGCGCGCTGCCGACGTGGCCCGCGAGTGCCAGCGCGACGAGCGCATGGGCCCGCGCTCCAAGCATGACTACGCAAGCGCCGAGAAGCAGCTCCACTTCGAGGCGCTGGCTCTCGACCTACGCACTGCATGTCCGAGACTTCGGCAAGGTCCACGACGACCGCGCGAAGGTGCCCAGCCAGCGCGAGCCCGGGAAGAGCGAGGCCGACGTGAAGGCCGAGCCAGAGGCCGACAAGTCGACGCCGGAGGACGCCTGAGAGCCGAGCGGCGGCGAGCGGCGGGTGCCTGGCGCACGGGCGCCCCGCGCCAAACGCCCCCGTGCTGAGTCCCATCTGTTTCAATCTCTCAGCGAGCGTTCGAGCTTGCGCGAGTGGCTTTCCAAGCTGCGGGGCACTGCCCCCTCCTTCTCGCCGGGGGATTTTCGATCGAGCATCATGCAATCGCGCAGGCTCGATCCTCCATCCTCGGATCGAGGATCCAAGATCTTGAGTCTGAGCATCTCCGAGCACCTTGGATCCCAGATCCGAGGATCGCCGAGCTTGGCCTCGAAGATCTCGAGCTCGCAATCCGGGGCGGGAGAGTCGAGCCACGGCGATCGTCGATCGCCCCCGTCCCCGTTGTCTGGCCGAGACCGCCATCAAGGAGGCTCGATCCTCGATCCTCGGATCGAGGATCTGAGATTTTGGTTCCGAGCATCTTCGGGCGCCTTGGATCCTAGAGCCGAGGTCGCTATGCTTGGACTCGAAGATCTCGGGCTTGCGATCCGAAGGTCGA